CTTTTCTTCTTTTATAACAAACATTTTCGACCAATTTTCTCTTCGATCAATTTTCATATCGACTAATTTTCGCGTCGACCAATTTTCGTGTCGCCTAATTGTTGGCGACCAATTTTCGTTCAACCATTTTTCGTAGACCCACCGCCCAAAAATCGAAAAAAAACTTTTTCCATAGGGAGAAGCTGGAGATGCCACCACGGAAGATGTCTAGAGGTGTTAGCCGATTCTTTTATCAGCGGCGGCAAACTCCTTCGTATATCATTTCACAGTCTTTCCATGGTCCCCTACTACTGAAGCAAACATTAGACGTTCCGTTTTCACAGATATATAACGTTGTATATCTCTTGCAATGTAGATCTCTCCTTTTCTAAAAAGGTTTTCCACTATACTTCAGTTTATTTTCATCAAGTCAAGAGTTTCAGTGTTCTAAGGTACAATAAATTCAAGAAAAATAACAATAACGCATGGTGGAAGCAGAAACAACAATAATATCATTTAAATCTACTTGAACATAGAATAGTTATCATGAATAAATTGTATTTTTCCGACAGTCTCTGGTGCAACTTGTGTTCGTTTGACAGATAATATTAATGCGAACACAACTATTTTATGTTTCATACCTTTTTGTTCTGTCGCCTAATTGGTTATTTAGAGAAGGAAGAAGTTTGAACTATACATTCATTCAATCGATGGTGGTGACGGCGAAAAATTCCTCGCCGGAACATCCTCTTCGGCGATGACGGATGAAAGTTTTATCGGTGACGGCGGCGAGAAATCGACGGCTAACACCTCTAGAGATGCCGCATCTCTCCGTAGAGAAGTGGCGGAAGATGCGGCGTCTCTTATGAAGATGCGGCATTTCTCTTGGGAGATGTATCTCTCGGAGGTACCCTAGGCCCAAAAATCGAAAAAAAAAATTTTTCATGGGGAGAAGCTGGAGATGCCACCACGGGAGATGCCGCATCTCTCTGTAGAGAAGTGACATTAGAATCATAGGTCAGAGATAATTGGTATTTAACGTTGTTTGGCATATCCGGCTTCTCCACAGGCTTCTCCAGCTTCCCCGACTTGCTGGATATGTGACACGGTTCAAAAAGTTACAAACTTCAAAAATGCACGTATATGTTTTGCCTCATAAAATTGTACGAAATACTTATCATACAACTGTAATATATATTGTTCTCGACTTCAGAAGAATCTGCGTCGATGCAAGGATCTGTTGCATATTCTTATTATTCTCCCTTCTTTCTCTCTCCGCTACAAACCTTCGTAATATCCGTCACTGCACAGGCATTATTTGATCAAAATAAAAGCATGAATTTAGAAAGTTATGATTTGAACATCTTCAAGGCGATTCGATTTTGTTAGAAAATAGCTTTAACAGATCCATTTTCATGTGCATTCACCTTCCGATAAATGCGCTCATTGGTATGCTCAATATGTGCTGGCAGTTTTCTTTTTCTTGGTTGTATCATTATATAGATGGTACTTTATTACGTCGAACTGAACAATTAGTCAAATTTTTTTGTTCTTTCTTGTATATATTTCGCATTAGGAACAAAATAACACAACGCAATTTCGATTTATAAAAAGCCAGATTTTAGCCTATTAAGATTTCTCACTGAATAACTACGATCGGCAAAACAATGAGAGTATGACGAAGTTGACTAGCTCAAACGTGATGAAGTTTATGGACTCTAGAGCAAAGACACTATAAAGTTCATCAAATAGATAGATAGAAGAGATGCTTTGATGATATCCATAAAGCCATCGCATTAAGCAAATGTGATCAGTACCAAAAACCCAAGAAACTAAATTAGCACATCATGGAACCACATGTTGTCGTTGATCACAATGAAGGGAAACAAGGTATATACATTTATCAGATTAGCTATTAACATATTATACACATTCTAGAAGACATGTAAATGGTATTAACAAGTGGCACTTGAATTGATATTTGAGATGATTATAGTTTGTAGCTATTTGATTTACAGAAAAAACTATGCCGCCATCGACATGACCATTCTACAACATCATGAAAGTCTTGTGTGATCTTTACTCATTGATATATCACTCGCGAAGCTGAATCCTGGTTTCAGATACACTCAGCAAGCTATTTGAAGCACAGACTCGCTAATCACAAGCTTCAAGAAAAGGATGAACTGCGCACATCATCCAAGGACGCTGTACTAGCTGCTATGAGAAAAACAAGGAACAATAATCAAGAGCAGCGAGTGATGTAACAACAAAGAAAATAAAAATCTTCCGTTTTGATTGTGACAAATTTGTGAGTCTTGATTGTTTTAACGAGAAGTATCACGCTATGGAATAAATGATTCAAACAATAGCGAAGTTAGAATAGATGATAGATTATATGTATAATAGCTAGTCTATAAAAAAAAAAGAAAAGAAAGTGTTCTTGTATTAGTTTTGTTGTCAAAATACTGTGAGACGCATGAGTAAGTGCCATCGTTTCGAATGTGTTAATGATACATTCGATGTTATCATCAATGTAGAATAATTTTAAAAGATAAATTTAGTTCTAAAAAACCAATATTTGACAAGAAAATGGCATAAATATATCAAAAGTTAAACCGAGGTTATCAAGCTCTCAAAACTTCTTATTATTATGATATTTATAAAACGAAACAATCTGTCAATGAAATCTTTTTCCCGTCTATAAACTTAATGATTTAGTCTAGTTCAAGACTCATGCAGTGTTAATCTCTAATAAACAATAAGAATTAAAAACAATATTTTCATATTGAAGAAGTAATATTGAGGAAACAGGAATTGATTAACTACAAAACATATTCCAGTAAATATTAATGATAGGTTAACACATCTTGTTACCTATTATTTTGTTGTTTATTTCTTTTTCATACATGCATTTTTTATACGTTCCATATAGTAGTATCACTAAAATGCAATACAAAAATATTTATGATAGTCGTCTGAAGTATTAAAAATGGAACGACATTTGGTGGAAATAAAACATTGAAACTATTTAAGGGTAAACAAACATTCTATGATCGAGAACATTAAATCCATTAGACAGATGTATTGAACCCTCGTGGAGTACAGAAAATGTTCGTGCTTTCAAACGTACTTTGACTTATAAAACTGATCATCTAAGAGAACTTGTCTATTTGAAGAATAGTTAATTTATTCGGATAATTTGTGTGACAAAGAAAAGGGCAAGAAAAATCAAATTACCAGATATAGAACATTCCTTCACTTTGCTTATCGACAAGCTTGTAGTTAGAAGAAAACAATCACAGATTACAGGCTCGTTTTCTTTTTATATCTCTTTAGATTGTAAGACAATATATTATAATCAATGATTAAATCAAGATATTGCGTACAGATTCTATATTTTCTATTTATTTCTTTTATATGTATATCTTTATCAAAAGGGTAAGTATTATATTTGATCAGTTTATCTGTTGCACATTAATTTCTTTGTTTGAACCATTCTATGTTAATCTCAAGAAAGATATTTTATGTTTATTTGATCTTTCGAATTGATAATTAAAATCAACACAAAGACTAGTTTTACTTGATGGTGATATTATCATTCTTTGTGAGCTGATTAATTGTCTTAACTAGTGTAATTTCAATCTGATGTCTATTAGTATTCATCCTTATTTCGGCTAATCTCTATCTAAAAATCAATAGAAGTATTTTGATATGAATAGTTCGTATTGATTTTCATGTATTTTTAACCTAGTTTTCATTGATTTATCTTTATAAAATAAGACTCCATAATTGTTTTAAATAATTAAAACAATATCTGTCTCCTCGAAAAGATTGATCTTTAAAAAAATATGTGTCAACATGCAAACATTCTGTATGTTAGCATGACATTTCCTATTTTAAGTTTACCATCAATATTTTCTTTACTCATTAAATTTTACAAAGTACTTTTGTTTTTGGTATAAGTTGGTTAAGAATATTCGTTATATGTAAATACAAAAGCAAATAAAATTGTCAAGATATTTCTACATTTAATAAGGTTAATTATACAATAAAGAATTATATTTGATATGATACATAAGAAGAATGCTGTCTAGAATGTCGTTAACAAAGTCATTTCTTTGATAGAATTAGGTAAGAAGTCTCTTGTGTGAAATGCTTACTTGTGTAATTGAAAAACAACGATTCGACATTCAAATATGAATTTGTTATTATTCTATTAGATAGTACAAGTGTTTCTCTGATGCAACTTAAGTATTTTTGTGTTTTCAAAAAGATATTTATGTTAACAGGATGAAATAAAAATTATGATGATCTAGATTCATATGAAAAGAAAGCAGATTAATAGAGTTTATTTTGAATATTGATTGTCTTACACTTTTTCAGTCTTTTTATTACGTTTAATAATGTATACTTTCTAAATGAATAATTTATCATAAAATTGTTTCGTATTACGCTTGTAGACAAAACATTTTGTGGATGATGAGAAAAGATTTTAAAATCATGATGTATCTTATTTTATCATTCGTTTTTAATTTCTTATATAAATTCTATAGACTCTACACTATTCTCTCAAACGATAAGGAAAAGTAAGAAATACGAAAGAAAGTATAGATGAGGTTATGTTTGTAACTATGTTACAATTAGTCATTATATTCAATATTTGAAATCAGTATTTACTCGTCATCACATTTTTATCATTAATCCGAAAACTTAAAGGAAGTCCTTTAAAAAACTGACCATTTTTTGAAATAGTTTTGATTTGATCAACATTTGAAATGCAGTATGTTCTTAATAACATTGTGCGAATTAAAACATTAGAAAAGTTAAATAAAAGGACAAATTATTCCTTGTCATTTCAAGAAAAAACGGCAGTTAGATTGTCGATGTACAACATTTTCGAATATCATTGGTTGATAAAAATGACTGTTATAATCGATGAATACACAATTCTATGTTCGGTTGGTATCAGGTGATAATATTGAAGAAAACAGAAATAAGTGTCGATCTATTCCACAATGTTATAAAGAACCATAAACAACAAATGTTGTACTTGTTCCATTGAGTTGTAAACAACGAATAAGCTTCTATAAAAAAATAAAATTATCATATATATATTTGACAAAATAAGGTGTAAATTTTGAGCTGAATTACAGCCAAGAACAATCATTCTTATAAAATTAATGTCTTAGAAATAAATGATTAATCATCATTGTCAGCATTATCATCTGATTCAACTGTTGATAGACTAACATCATTTCTTGTTAGACCATTGACATTGTTTGTATTTCGTTTTCGACAGATTTCTCACTACTATATTTTCAATTAAATATAACATTTTTCAATTCATCAGAAGTGAATGTTGATCTTTCAGTAATATTCATATGATCTGGCATTTCATGAATATGCTTCAACTCTATGTTAATATATTTTTGTAAAATAAATGAATATCATATAAAGGCACTTTATAATAACATTACTTTTATCATTTTGATAACCGCGCTGTACAACAAAAAAAAAGTACTCTGTCTTTAATTAATCCATACTTTCGTATCTTCTTGTGAATATAAGATAAACATTTTTTTTTGTCCTCCGTACTTGGCAAATATAAAAGCTTCTTTACAACTGTTACTTAAAATACATGGTACTTGAGCATACGATGGATCTTCTTCTTTAAGGATTAATTGCAATTTGCCATTATCATGTTCATTTTTACCATTTTTTTTCTGTTTATTTTGTGACATTTGATTGTTTTTTGATTGGATGTACACAATTTAATAGATGCAAGAAGGGTTAGTGTTAAAGTACAGTAATCGATATTGTATTATTTATTATAGATTACAATTACGAAGCAGATCTAATGAAGAGTTTTTATATCATAGAGAAGTTCAGAGAATCTTTTACTTTGAAAATGTAATTTTGATATTGAACATAAGGTTTCAATGAAATTTTCTACAAGTATTTGTCTCATAGAAGCTCATTAAGAAAAATATTTCACACTTTCATATCTTATCATTCAGAAATTTTCCGAAGATCAAAGTCTAGAATGGACTTTCTGCCAGTAGAAAGTCTTTTTCTCTACACTTCAAGATACAGCACCATGGATAGTTTTATTTGAAAGAGAACTGTTTATTGTTTAGGATGAGAAAAAGAGATTATTTCATTTCAGTTTTATTTATTTAGATGTAACATCAAAACCTCTAAAAAAATTGGGATAGCAAAAGAGAACTTCTACATATACGCGATTTTTTTACAAAACTAGAGGCTGATTAAAACTTTGTTTTGTCTCATTTGCAGAAGTATCTAATATTCAATAAGCAAAAAAAAACGCACGTCACACAAACTTTTTCTCTACATTTTAGATACTGATTATTCGACATCAGCCTGAAATAAGACAATTTCATACATCAATTGCTAAAATTAATCAAAACACGTGGAAGTACACTTCAAGCAGAATATGTAATTAATAGTAAAACAGTTTTTCTTCTGTTTTAGCCTCTGTTTCGCGTAAGAGTATTAGTATGAAAAACTTCAAAAAATTTCAGCACACTTCTTTAAAACTTTTCAATCTTAAAAGTTTTTGAATGAACATCTTAGTAGACACTTTAGGCCACATCTCTTTATGTTCATTTCAATCATCATTGTTTTGACAAAAGTGGATTTTTTGAAGATAGAAAGCCTTCTCAACCTTAAAACATGATGACAGTATAGTATGCCATAGTGATATTTAATGCAAAGAAAAGATGAAAAGATCATTTGAATGACTTCCGACTATTCTTAGCGTATAGCAACGCCACCATTTTTTCTCTTTTTTTTATTTTAATATTTAATCAAAAAATAGCAAGATAATGAATAAACTTTAAAATGAAACAAATAACTTAATATGCCCAGTCAAACAAAGATATTCTACAGACGTGATACACAATAGCACGGCTTTCTAATAAATTTTACATATAACTGATAAAAGACATGAATATTCATATGATTGAATTGGTTGCTTGTTTTTTCGGTACCCAGAGAACTTCCCATGTTTTTTAACCTTCTTCTTATCTTTTTTTTCTTGATATTCGAAAAGAAGTTGAAATAATAATGCAAGAATCTACCTGAATTTTCACAAGTCAGTATCTTTGCCAGTCATAAGTTAGACTTGACTTGTTCTGTTCTAAAGATTGCACAAGTAAATCATGTATTAATAATGACTAATTCTTCGAGAACTATGATGCTTAATTCCTTTGTATTTCAATCAATTGTTACTGTTTATTTTTAAAATCAAAACACATATGTAAATTAAAAAAAAACACTAGAAAGAAATTTAACATTTTTTTCTTTAGATAATGGCTTCTGCTTTAGTGAATATATTAGTTCAAAATATTTGTAACCTAATTTTTCCGTACGACAAATTATGCAAAAGAAAGAGATAATAAGTATGTTAATATTTTTCTTTCAAAAATGATTCTTGATGAAAATTAGCACGTTAGAAAAAAAACTTTGATTGCATTTGTGTGGTTTTGATTGTAATCAGACTTCTCTCATGTAATATATCATTTATCAAGATTTACAATATTAATTTTTTGCTTCATTTATTTAATATGTACTTTTCATTTTGGCTGCTATCAATATTAATAAAAGATGAACTCTCTACTTTGACATGTAACAAAATATTACTTTTATAGTAACTGAGACTAATGAAAATAAAAATAGATATTGTGAAGATGATGATAGACATAATATAAAACCCTTGAGATAAAATAAATTTACGCATCAGTGTAGAATTACTGATGCAATGACAATGTAGACCGTAGGTATAGTATTTTCTCAAAACATATATTCTATATATAGAACTTAGTCTTCTCATTAATATAAGACTGTTGAAGAGCAAATAATTATTTATGAAATAAGAAACTTTCAAGTAAAACAAGTATACTATAATTATAACAGACATTCGCAAATGTTTTAATTACACTTCATCCATCAAGGAAAATGAGTAAGATTAACTTCTAATTCACTTTTTATCTACATAAATTTTAAGGCACATTTGAATTAATAATTTGTCAAAGATTTATAGATAAAAGAATTCCTTCTTTTCATGTTATTCCTTCGTTACCTTTATTTGTTGAATGTGTGAGAAAAGATTTTGTCGATCTTTTAGTGATCTACCGAAATAACTCTTATTCAGCTCATTTCTATGGATCATATATACAGAGTGTCTGGAAAGTAACTTCCTATTTTTAATCATTGATTACTCTTCAACAAGAACAGATATTAAAACAATCTTTTGATTGTTTTGAAATGTATCTATTGGCATTTTGTTTCAAGTCCATCAATGTGATCAACCATTTGATTATTTAAGATCGAGCACCAATTAGGTAAAAATATCAGGTGTGGCGAGAGGCCGCATACAAAAGGCTTTGATAATTTTTTTTGGTCATTTTGGATCCCTACTTTGCCTCTTTTCAATCTAACATCTAGCAGAAAGCATAATAGCGCCGACTAATGAATGGAGCAGATTCAATAGCCGTGTTTTGTATCTTATTTTTTTCATCAGCTAATACGTTTTATTAAAAACCAAAATATATCAGAAAATGCAGCATGAAAAGCTCAATAATCTACAAGTAAAGCTTATTTTTTTATGGTATACTTTTGCTTTTGTTGAAAATAATTAAAATAACTTTCACTCTGTATCTTGTAGAGATTTTCATGCTACATCTTGTGGTATATTTTGTTTTATTATCACAAAGAATAGAGATTGAAAATTGCAATGCAAAACATGACTATTTAATCTGCCCCGCTCGTTATTTTATCCGCTTTTTCCTTTATTATTCTCGTTCCATTTTATGCGAATGTTATCGATGGATGATTTTTCATCAGTGATTGTTGTATTCAAACCATTAAATTGTCACACATAATAATTTTATCGAATTAGTGCTTGATCTTAAAGAATCATAGGGTTGATCACATTGATTTATTTGGAACAAAATGCCAATCGATACCTTTTCAAACAGTCAAAAAATTGTTTTGATAACTGTTCTTGTTGAAGAGTAATCAATGATAAAAAAAATAGGAAGCTAATTTTCAGACACCCTGTATATATATACATATTCATGTATAGGTATGTGAGGTCTTTCCTGTTTATGATTCTTTTTGCTTAGAGAACTCGTTCAATCCTAAGGCTAATAGCTTATTCTGCGTAACTCTTAAAGCTAATCAGAGACTTGTCAAACTTTTTCTACTTGTAATAACAAAAGATTAGCACGGAATATCTGTAATCTAGACAGACGATTATGAATAAGTTTTTTTCATAACTAAGTGAATTATTAAAGAAAATATGTTATAGTTAATATGGATAGTAATTGAATCAAAATGAGTAAGGTTTTTATACATCAATAGATGACATAGTTTTTTGAAATATTATTCTAGATTTCAGTGAAGAATTTAGATTTCATTCTATAGAATAACTTTGAATTATAAGCCATGTAGACATTCATCAGCTGTTATATGTATTTCAAGAAGTATACAATACAAATTCAAAAACAACACTTATTAACTGTATGAATCTGAAAGATAGTCATTAGCAAAAACGCTTAAGTATCTTAAATAAATTTGAAATAACGGATATTTTGTGGACATGAGCCATACTTTATCAGATACAATTCGTGAACACGATTATTTAATTATTGATATTAAACCGTCAATGATGTGTCTACACTAAAACATCATAGGTTAATATCGAAAAAAGAAGAGAAAAAAGAAAAGTAAAACTTCTGAATAAAAGCGTAAGTCAATAGCGGAGACTAAGGAAGAAAAAGAAAAAGGCTTACTATTATAACCATTGTTTATTATCGTTTTTTTTCCCTAACAGTATAATTTAGTACGATATAACAACAATTACATTATCTTCATAATGGAAGCAATTGAAGTATCAACAATAATGTCAACAACATTAACACCATCAATTAATTATACTCGATATTATCATCAATTTCGAATAATCCATAAGATTCTTGTCAAAATTTCATTTCCATATATTTTCTTAATAGCTATTATTGGTTTTATTACGAATACATCAACTGTTATTCTTTTATCAAAAAATTCTATAACAAAAAATTTGAAAAATAAATGGACATTGATTGCATTAGGTATGTATTATGTAAAATAACGGACTAATACTCAAATCTAAGATTTGGTTTATTTAATAAATATAAATAAGAATATTTATCGATAGTTAACTTGAATATTTTTTTCTACATTAAAAGAAAATGTTGAGTATATGAATAAATATGAAATCTCAAAATTTCCAAACCCAATAATTTCATTTCATGAAGATTTTTTTAAACTCTTCTCAAAAAACCAATTAGATATTTATGGCATGTGGTTAATATCTGATTTAAATAGATAACTTTTGTATTCACCTATTGTACATGATTAGAATAGTATAATTGACAATTTATTTACAGAATAACAAAACAAAAAAAGTCGATCATATAAATAAGATACCGATGATTTGAATCTACTCAAATATGAGAACATGTACTTATGCATTAGAAAAAAAAAACCACTTGACAAAATTCTTATAGAACTTGAATTTTATTTTATTTTTCTTATATTATTTTAATAATAATATAATTAAAGAATGTCTTTATTTGTGTTCAATGAACGTTATATTTTGACTTAAAATAATAATGAGTATTGATTAAATAAATCATGCACTATGTAAAGAAAATTAAATGTTAGAGAACGTTTTAAT